GTTATTATTATTTTATACCATGAAAATGAACGGGAAAATAATTCTCCTGACTCCCGATACACATCTGAAAGCAAACAAAAAGATCAGTCGGGTAAACAAACGTCAGACACCGATCTTCTGGCAGAATTGAACTGACTTGAACAATGGTTTGGCCATTAATCAAATCAAAATGTAAAGCTGGTCCAGCAGGATTTATGTTCAGGCGCTTTATAATACCGACTGTTTTACTTTTACCACTTCAGCTCTCCCCCCTGTACTCCCCCCCTCATGGAGAAATTTGTACATTTCTGCTGTGGGCCTGTTTATTCAGAAATAACTTTGCCATTTTTTAAGATAATAAAGCAGTATATATGCTATTTATCTACAGTATATTGTTATATTAATATATTACTACCAGCACAGCCCTCCATGGTTCACACCACTGTCACTTCTCTCCCTGGCTCCCGCTCAGCTCCATCCTGACAGCTCTGCTCTACCCTTGCAGTAAGCCCTCACCGCATGCCCAGCATCCTCCTTTTACGGTGTGTCCAGCATCTTCTTTCACCTCTCACCTCCAGCTTTCTCCTCTCACCTCCAGCTTTCTCCTCTCACCTCCAGCTTTCATCTCTCACCTTCAACTTCCTCTCACCTCTTGCTTCCTCCCTCTCACCTCCAGCTTTCACCTCTCACCTTCAGCATCCTCCTCTCACCTCCAGCTTCCTCTCACCTGCAGTTTTCATCTCTCACCTTCAAATTCCTCTCACCTCCAAATTTTAGCTCTCACCTTCAGCTTTCACCTCTCACCTCCAACTTTCTCCTCTCACCTTCCAGCTTCCTCTTCTCATCTCCAACTTTCACCTTTCACCTCCAGTTCCTGCCTATCATCTCCAGCTTTCACCTCTCACCTCCAGCTTCCTCATTTCACCTCCAGCTCCTGCCTCCAACTTTCACCTCTCACCTACAGCTTCCTCCTCACACCTCCTGCTTTCACCTCTCACCTCCAGCTTTCTCCTCTCTTTGCCAGCTTCCTCCTAGCATCTCCAGCTTTCTCCTTGTGCCTTCAGCTTTCACCTCTCACCTGCAGCTTCCTCCTCATGTCTTCAGCTTCCATCTCTCACCTTCAGATTCCTCCTCTCACCTCCTGCTTCCTCCTCTCACCTCCAGCTTTCACCTCCCACCTCCAGCTTTCTCCTCTCACCTTCAACTTTCACCTCTCACCTCCAGCTTCCTCCTCACACCTCCAGTTTCACCTCTCACCTCCAGCTTTCTCCTCTCTTCGCCAGCTTCCTCCTCACACCTCCAGCTTCCTCCTTGTGCCTTCAGCTTTCACCTCTCATCTCTAGCTTCCTCCTTTCACCTCCATCTCCTGCCTCTTGCCTCACGCTTTCACTTCTCACCTCCAGCTTCATCCTCTCACCACCAGCTTTCACCTCTAACCTCCAGCTTCTCTTCTCACCTCCAGATTTCACCTTTCACCTCCAGCTCTTGCCTCTCCCCTCCATCTTTCACCTCTCACCTCCAGCTTCCTCTTCTCACTTCCAGCTTCCTCTTCTCACCTCCAGCTTCCTCCTCTCACTTCCACCTTCCTCCTCTCCATCTGGCTTTTGCCTCTTACCTTGAGCTTCCCAAGTAGCATTTAAAATAGAACACTATCCTAAAATGGAAAAAAAAGTGTTGGCTTTAGCTCTACTTTAAGTAACAACAAAGTTTTTACTGAATAAACAGGACAATAGCACAAATGTAAATACTTGTCAGGGACATAGGAGCTGTAGAGAGGTTAGAGATGAAATGGTTAAAATGAGAATAATCATCAGACGACAGTTCCTGCTGAGGCGCAATGGATCCTCACTCTCTTCTGTTTACTTTTCGCCTCCGGTCTCCACATGGCTGCTCCACCTGGGGAAGGTACAGAAGTATGACAAGGACAAAATTAGCATGTTAATGTTTTTTCCCTGCCTGCATGCCTCCTGCATATTTAAGCAGTATCATTGTCAACAGATTGAGTTGTGAACAGTTACAGGGGTAATGGGGGAGGTCATTAGCGCACTTCCATTGTTCAAACACCAAATACTGATTAGGCGTCCTGCATTTCTTTACTGGTGGTTGGCAAGAGACGCCTCTCCAGGGAGCAGGAAAAGAGAAAGCAATACGCAGCACAAACAATTCAAAGCAGAAAAGGGAAGTTGTTAGCATTCTGTTTAGATGTGCTGCAACTGTTGCCTATACAAAAAAAAATGAAAGGTTTTGGTTGGAGTCGCCCTTTAAATCTGGATTCTGGTCTCCCCTCCAGGCTTGCACAGGTGTACCGGCTCCTCCCCTTCAGTCTTGCACAGGTGTACCGGCTCCTCCCCTTCAGTCTTGCACAGGTGTACCTGCTCCTCCCTTTCAGTCTTGCACAGGTGTACCGGCTCCTCCCTTTCAGTCTTGCACAGGTGTACCTGCTTCTCCCCTTCAGTCTAGCACAGGTGTACCGGCTCCTCCCCTTCAGTCTTGCACAGGTGTACCAGCTCCTCCCCTTCAGTCTTGCACAGGTGTACCGGCTCCTCCCCTTCAGTCTTGCACAGGTGTACCTGCTCCTCCCCTTCAGTCTAGCACAGGTGTACCTGCTCCTCCCTTTCAGTCTTGCACAGGTGTACCTGCTCCTCCCCTTCAGTCTTGCACAGGTGTACCTGCTCCTCCCTTTCAGTCTTGCACAGGTGTACCTGCTCCTCCCCTTCAGTCTTGCACAGGTGTACCTGCTCCTCCCCTTCAGTCTTGCACAGGTGTACCTGCTCCTCCCTTTCAGTCTTGCACAGGTGTACCGGCTCCTCCCCTTCAGTCTTGCACAGGTGTACCGGCTCCTCCCTTTCAGTCTTGCACAGGTGTACCGGCTCCTCCCCTTCAGTCTTGCACAGGTGTACCGGCTCCTCCCCTTCAGTCTTCCACAGGTGTACCGGCTCCTCCCCTTCAGTCTTGCACAGGTGTACCGGCTCCTCCCTTTCAGTCTTGCACAGGTGTACCTGCTCCTCCCCTTCAGTCTTGCACAGGTGTACCGGCTCCTCCCCTGGACTGAAAAGGCTTATGCTGATATCACCGCACACTGGGAGCTTCTCACAATGTGCATTAGAAGCCGCAGCAAGTCGGATAGAGCTCTGCCTCATTTCCTGGCTGGAGGACGCCCATCGTCATCTAGTACTTTCCTCCCCAGCCTGACTGTTCCTGGCTCCGCCCCTTTCAGTGTCTAAATGACAAGGATTAAAGGGGACCTGTCAGTAACTTTCCCGGTCTCCGTGAATAAATTCCTTGACAATATACAGCAGCTGGATCCATTTTCAGTCCACCTTTTATCATTACAAAGCTCCAGTCAGTGCCTTTGCCTAGGCTGAGATGATGTCATCAGTCTGCTGCAGGCAGGAAGAAGCATTTCCTCAGTCTCCCCTCCCCCAGAGATCAGACTGTACATTGTAACTTTATAGAAGGAGGAGGAAGCATTTCCACAGTCTCCCCTCCCCCAGGGATCAGACTGTACATTGTAACTTTGTAGAAGGATGAGGAGACATTTCCTTAGTCTCCCCTCCCTCGGTGATCGGATTGTACATTGTAACTTTGTATAAGGAGGAGGAAGCATTTCCATAGTCTCCCCTCCCCCAGTGATCTGACTGTACATTGTAACTTTGTAGAAGGAGCCCTTTCCTCAGTCTCCCCTCCCCCCAGTGATCCGACTGTACATTGTAACTTTGTATAAGGAGGAGGAGGCATTTCCTCAGTCTCCCCTCACCCGGTGATCAGACTGTACATTGTAACTTTGTAGAAGGAGGAGGAGCCCTTTCCTCAGTCTCCCCTCCCCCAGTGATCTGACTGTACATTGTAACTTTGTATAAGGAGGAGGAGGCATTTCCTCAGTCTCCCCTCCCCCCGTGATCAGACTGTACATTGTAACTTTGTAGAAGGAGGAGGAGGCATTTCCTCCGTCTCCCCTCACCCGGTGATCAGACTGTACATTGTGACTTTGTATAAGGAGGAGGAGGCATTTCCTCAGTCTCCCCTCACCCGGTGATCCGACTGTACATTGTAACTTTGTAGAAGGAGGAGAAGGCATTTCCTCAGTCTCCCCTCCCCCGGTGATCCGACTGTACATTGTAACTTTGTAGAAGGAGGAGGAGGCATTTCCTCAGTCTCCCCTCACCCGGTGATCCGACTGTACATTGTAACTTTGTAGAAGGAGGAGGAGGCATTTCCTCAGTCTCCCCTCTCCAATGATTCGATTGGACTGTCCAAAGTTCCGATGTTTCTGCTGCACATCCCGTCCACAATTCTTTTTTCTGCGGAGAGGTTTCTGCTCCCTGAACTGAGGAAGGTCACAAGGCTGCGATTATTCCTCCTGCACGTGTGCGGACTCTGGAATGCGTCTATTTCGGGCGCAGACGACGCTCGCTGACCGTCCCCTCCTGGCACCCGTCTATATTGGAGCCGTTCCATGGAGACATGAAGGTCAGCGGCTTTGAGGTTCAGCCCGTCGGATGCGTGCCGAGCAGCAGCTGCAACGTCGATCCTTCCCTCGCCACATCCAATACCACGCACAGTCCCCGTTCAACGGGAACGCAATAAAATGAAAGAGCGAACGCACTCGTGTGACTGGGGGAATTTCTGGCGCTGTGACATCATTACCCTGGATTGTGCGTCCGGTCTGCCAGCGACAAGTGATGGCGCTCTAAGGGGGATCGCAACTGAATTCCCAACGTCTCCCAACATTGCATGACGGCGCTCCTTCCTACATCGTTTTATTCCAACGCCTGCGCCCATACAGGCGCTAATGAGCTGTAGTGTGGGTGTTAGACCGCGTTACCCCCGCGCCCTCCTGACAATTTCCTCCCCTTCCATTTTTTTGCGATACAGCGCTGCGTTACTTTAACCATTTCCATACCGGGCAATTTTCCCCCTTCCTGCCCAGGCCATTTTCCAGGTTTCAGCGCTCTCACACTTTGAATGACAATTGCGCGGTCATACAACATTGTACCCAAACTAAAAATGTTATCATTTTCTTCATACAACTAGAGATTTCCTTCGGTAGTATTTAATCACCGCCGAGGTTTTTATTTTTTGCTAAATTATCAAAAAAAAAACATATTTTTTTTTTTTTTTTTTTTTTTAAGTCCGCAAACGTGCAACTATATCGAAAAAACCCGTAAGTGTCGCAAAAAAGTGCAAGTGCAAAACACCACACGAAAAACGTGCACTTAGGGGTGTGCTGTGTCCTACCCCGAAAGGGGCTTGGACCGCTGTCCCTGATCCCCCGGGGCACGAAGCTCCTGACGGGGACTAGGTTCCCACTTGGTCCTCCTGACCAAAAGGCCGGGTGGACCACCGTTCCCTATGCCAAGCCGAAGCCGGACATTCAGTACTAGGCAAGGGGGCTCTCCCGAAGAAGAGCCCTCTAGGGATCAGGGGAGGAAGGAACCGTATGGCCACACATCCTCCCCCTAGACTTCAGGGTAGGCCCGAGGACCCACACCCTCCATCCGTGAAACACACACATAAGGCAAAGAAAAAGTGACAAACGTGGGAGTGCATAATAAATAAAGTAAAAGATAAAGTAAAAAAAATAATAAAAAAGGTACCGTGCCGAAATGTGCACAGACCAGGCCCTGAGGCCTGTAGCAAAAATTGCCCTGAACTTAGCCAAAAGACCTGGTCCTTAGGGCGCTGTGCAAAAAAGAGTGTAAAAACAGTGGCCATGTGTCATTTTCACACCGTGGGGTCCCACACCCAAGTGTTACTAGTGACACCCCTGAGCGCGTCTCCTCAGGGGGCACTGAGTTTGCGGACTTTTTGCCTCCTCAGCCCCAGGCCAGACCAAGGTAGCATGTTCAGATCAGGAGGTACTGGGTCTTTCCGGTCTCCCCAGAGGAATTACTCCCAAGACCCCAGAACGAATCATGGCGCTCCCTGGTTTCTGTCCCTCCGGTACTAGCCTTCCGGACCCCCATCATACCAGTGAGGGTACTATACAACAACCATCCCCGTAAACTAGAATGGTCGGGAGCACCCCCACTGGACACTGATAAGAACAGATACTACACTTGATCTTAGCCAAAAGGCCGAGAAGCGATGTTGGAAGAAACACTTTATTGCAGAAGCATCAAAAACAACATGTTACTTGTAATCGGGGTACATCTCACCCTGTACTGCGATGCAGCGCACCACATAGCAATACAGTTCCAGGCATACGATAAATACATTCAGAAATAAATACATTCGCTCAGCGGTATGATGCCTGACGTGATGTGCGCGGAGGATGAATCCCCCGGACCACCACGTCCTGCATGACGCCGCTTACCCCAAAAACTGTAGCATCCTAATACAATATACATTTCCTAGTCACTATGTCATGCAGAAAAACGATAAACTGAAAATCACGATTCACAATAGGCATCGGGTGTGCGGGGGGGGGGGGGGGGGAAGGGGAGGGGGAGGGGGAAACACAGGCCCGAAGCTTTATTGAAAAGACAAAGACACGCAAGGGGGAGTATGGGGAAGGGGGAAATCTTCAGACGTCCTCTTCCTCCTTAAAGTCCATCAAGGAATAGTCTCTGAGCAGACTGAGGATCAGTCTGCGGCAGTCCTCAATGGACATCCTCTCCCGCTGGTGGATGAGGCGCTTCCTGGCGCACCATAAAGCGTCCTTAAAGCAACACAGCACCAAGAAACACTGCTCTAGATGATGCTGGGTGTCCTCCAGCCATGAAAAGAGGCGGAGCTCTCAAAAAAAAAAAAACATATTTTGAAAAAAAATTTTGAAAAAAACAATCCACCAGTTGTTAGTTATAGCCAAGATAAGACAGTCACACTGACCAAATAAGGCATATTCCTTTGTTAGGGAGAGTGTTCTGATCCAATTGTAAACGACCATCGCCACCCCCTAATTTGCATAACTAAGACAGTCCAAGTTCTTTTTTTTTTTATGGGGTTGCTGCACATTAGGGAGAGCGTTCTGATCCAACTGCAAATGATTATGGGTGCCTAATTTACATACTATTTTGCATACTCCTTTCCTTCTTGTTGCAAGTTAGGGAGAGTGTCCTGATCCCCCAGGATAAATTGCAAAGGACCACCCTAATTTGCATACTCCTGTCCTTGCCTCAGATTATTCAAAAACATGCAAATTTGTCTGACACATTCCCCTCCCAGAAAACCCCTAATTTTTCCCAGATGCCCGCTCAGTTTGTTGGATAGGACACACACTAACCCCATGGACCACCATGCCCTGCTTCCACCAATAATGATGAGTTTGGACCATATTATTTTAATTTAGGGAGAGCATTGTATCTAATTAGCATATTTGTTCTCCCCCTGGAGAGCCCCCTGACCTAGTATTTGGTGGCCAGCTTTTAGTAAGCTTTGGTGATCCTTGGTTCCACCCCCCTTTCAGAGAATACAGACCCAGCCACACCCTGATCACCGCCACACCAGTCCCAGTGTCTCTTATCACCGCCACACCAGTCCCAGTGTCTCTTATCACCGCCACACCAGTCCCAGTGTCCCTGATCACCGCCAAACCAGTCCCAGTGTCCCTGATCACCGCCAAACCAGTCCCAGTGTCCCTGATCACCCGCCAAACCAGTCCCAGTGTCCCTGATCACCGCCACACCAGTCCCAGTGTCTCTTATCACCGCCACACCAGTCTCAGTGTCTCTTATCATTGCCACACCAGTCCCAGTGTCTCTTATCACCGCCACACCCAGTCCCAGTGTCTCTTATCACCGCCACACCAGTCTCAGTGTCTCTTATCACCGCCACACCAGTCCCAGTGTCTCTTATCACCGCCACACCAGTCCCAGTGTCTCTTATCACCCACACACACCAGTCCCAGTGTCTCTTATCACCGCCACACCAGTCCCAGTGTCTCTTATCACCGCCACACCTGTCCCAGTGTCCCTGATCACCCCACACACCAGTCCCAGTGTCCCTGATCACCGCCACACAAGTCCCAGTGTCTCTGATCACCCCCACACCAGTCCCAGTGTCTCTGATCACCGCCACACCAGTCCCAGTGTCTCTTATCACCGCCACACCAGTCCCAGTGTCTCTTATCACCGCCACACCAGTCCCAGTGTCCCTGATCACCGCCAAACCAGTCCCAGTGTCCCTGATCACCGCCAAACCAGTCCCAGTGTCCCTGATCACCGCCACACCCAGTCCCAGTGTCCCTGATCACCGCCACACCAGTCCCAGTGTTTCTGATCACCGCCACACCAGTCCCAGTGTTTCTGATCACCGCCACACCAGTCCCAGTGTCCCTGATCACCCCACACCAGTCCCAGTGTCTCTGATCACCCCCACACCAGTCCCAGTGTCTCTTATCACCGCCACACCAGTCCCAGTGTCTCTGATCACCCCCACACCAGTCCCAGTGTCCCTGATCACCCCCACATCAGTCCCAGTGTCTCTGATCACCCCCACACCAGTCCCAGTGTCTCTGATCACCGCCACACACCAGTAACCCTCTTTCCTTCACCACAGCTCATGTATTTCCCCCCATCCTCTCCTCTCCCTATTACTGCACTCATCACCCCCTGATAGTTCTGGTCCCTCTTTATTGGAACTGTATTGGGGTTCTATAAATCCGGTACAACAAAAATAATAACATGCAATTCTGTAATCTTGGTAAATAGTAATATTATCTCCAGTGGAAAAAAAAGGTGGAAGATGCGCCTTAAGTCCCCCATTACCTGCCTGACGCCAGATTGAGCCTCTCCTGCCAAGGGGCGGACTGACAACTTATGGGGCCCCTGGGCAATAGGGAATCATGGGGCCACTGTGTCCTTGCCCACACTCAAAGCACACCCAAAAAAGCCTATAAGAGGTACCAAGGGCATCTCATGGGGCCCCGGGCAATAGGGGATCATGGGGCCCCTGTGTCCTCACCCACACTCAAACCACACCCAAAAAATCCCATGAAAGGTACCAAGGGCATCTCACGGGGCCCCCTACTGACCCCGGGTTCTTGAGTAGTGCCCGAGTGCTCGAATGGTCAGTCCACCCCTGCTCCTGCCTCATTCCCACATCCAGCGCCATCTCTTATCAGCGGCAGAAAGCCGGCAAATAATGTGAAGCTCACAGCCAATATTTTTCCTGGGACCGTTCCCAACTCGCAGCTGATGTGTGAAGGAGAATTACAGCACGGCAACGATCTCACAAAGCCCAGCGGATGCCAGCGGTCACGGCAAAATGTTCATCCTCAGCTCCATTTGGAGAAAAATATCACAGTTAAAAATGTATTTAAGGAGCGCTCAACGCCTCCCATTATTATAAATGGATCACCCAGGGGCTGACTGACAACTCATGGGGCCCCCGGACAAGAGGGGATCATGGGGCCCCTGTGTCCTAGCCCACACTCAAACCACACCCAAAAAAGCCTATGAAAAGTACCAAGGGCATCTCATGGGGCCCCCGGGCAATAGTGGATCATGGGGCCCCTGTGTCCTAGCCCACACTCAAACCACACCCAAAAAAGCCTATAAAAGGTACCAAGGGAATCTGCCCCAAGGGCATCTCCCCTGCTGACCCCGGGCCCTCGGGCAGTGCCCAAGTTTCCAAATGGCCAGTCCACCCCTGGTTGTGAACCTGAAGGGCCCACCAAATATGTGATATGTGAATGGGCTCCTCCGTACTTCTTTGCCTGTTTTTCGGTGGTGGTGGGAGCAGGAGGGGGCTGCTTGTCCCGGAGTGATCCGGAGATTGGGTTTCAGCCGTGAAATAGCGTGTGGTCAAAAATGACACTGACAGCGGCTCAGCTATGTCAGGCAGCTGTTCCCTGGCATCCCGAGAAGCCTTCAGATGTCAAAACCATATGACAAAGATAACCGACATCCAGCACCCTGCGTCCAGCCTTCCCCGTCCAACGCAGCTGGTCGAAAGCTCCTCCAGGACCATGGCTGAGGAACAATCCTATTATGAGGAGAAGATCTCCAAGGATATTCTGGCCAAAGAAATCGACTTGGTGGACCGAGATCCCAAGAAGATCAACCAGGACGTGGTGAAGGTCTGTCTATTCTCCCCTGCTTGTGGTGTGCCTATTGGTGTAGACCCCTAGTGCCCCCCACATGCAGCCCTTTGGTAAGATGTGTGGCCCTCAGACCTCAGCAGTCTGTGGTGGGAACATTGACTAGGGTAATATTATTGGTCCCTACCAGCCTCATGTCCCATGTTCCCAGCTTCGTATCGTCTTCTGCAGCATATCCCCAGCCAACAATGTATCCTCTCCTCACTCTCTGACCCTCATTTCCTCTGTTAGGTCGGCAGTCTCTGACACTCCTCCCAAGCATTACATATATTGAGCATTACCCACATGGAAGAAAAATATATTTGAAATATATTTTTAAAATATTCTTTGAAATATATTTAAAATACTACAATATTCAATACATTTCAAAAAATATTTCTATATTTCTATATATATATATATATATATATATACTGTATGTTGAAATATATTTGAAATACCACAATTTTGGCCATAGTCAATATATTTCTAAATATATTTCAATATATATATATATACACTGTATGTTGAAATGCGTTTTTATTACAAAATATCTGAAAAATATTTTTAAAAATACATATCAAATATACTGTCTTTAAAAATACAAATCTACATTTTTGGAATGCATTTATAAATATGTGTAAAAATATATGTTAAAATGACTTTTTTTTATGTTAAAAAAATCTGAAGAATATATTTAAAAAAAAAAAAATGTTTTAAATATATCTCACATATTTTGTAATAAATATTTCAACAGCAGTATATATATATATATATATATACAGTATATTATATAAAGCGCCAACAGTTTGCTCATCGCTTTACATTATATATATATATATATATATATATATATTATATATATATATATATATATGTATGTATGTATGTATATTTTATTTATTTATTTATTGAAATATATTGAATATGGCCAAAATTGTACCATTTCAAATATATTTTTCTTCCATGTGGGTATGTTGGCCCATCAGTGATGTCAGGGGCCACATTGGAGGCCCCCTCTAGCATATAAATTGCTAACAACTGGGGTAGACAGTGTAGAGCAGGGGTGCTCAACCTGTGGCCTATGAGCCGCATGTGGCCCTCAGAACCCTCTGACATGGCCTTTGAATTGAAACCACTTCTATTATACCCTGCGGGTTTTGGGTGCCTTCTGAAGGTGCCCCAAAACTCCCGAATTCCAAAAAGTGCACCACCCCTGCAAAATATAATAGAAGTCTATGGCAAAGTGCAGCTAACCCGCAGGAAAGCAGCTTTATGAGGGTCTCAGGACACAAAGGACTTTACATTCGCAGTTTTGGGGGCAATAAAACCCCATAGTTGAGATGTGTTTTTACCATAGCCTCCTCAACCACTGGTGTAGAATCTGGGGTCTCAATGGTGACCCAGAGGGCCTCTCTGCCGAATTCAGCTTTACACTCGGACAGACTGGACGGCTGGGGCAGCAGATACAGGAACCGATCCTCTCCATTTTCCTCCTGCAACCGCTGAAATCCAGCTTCTCCTCCTCTCCCTCCCCCGCCGGAATTCAGAGGCTGCAGGAGGAAAACGTTCATTGTGCTATTGTAAATAAAAAACTTTGCAATTGTCAACCATTTCACTTCCATGTGGCCCACGACCCGCTACCAAATCACTTAAGTGGCCGCCCGCTCTCCAGAAGGTTTGAGCACCCCTGGTGGGAGACCCCTAGTCCCAGGGACAGCTGAATTTGTATTTTGGGTTTTGGATTTTTTTTTTGGGGGGGGGGGTGTCCCTGATCACTTTCACAAGCCCAGTTTGCCATTGTTTTTTCTTTTTCAATCTTTTAATTATTTTTATTTCGATAAAAGAATAACAGTAGTGCCAAGAAGTCTCTGTTTTCAGGTCCTCATGCAGGAGGAAATCTGGTACAGGACAATTTTCTTGCAACAGTTTAGTAACCAACGGGGCTTTCTTTCAGCGGGAACGTGGGGGAACGCAGTTCCACCACCTCCAGCACTGAACGTATGTAATGGCAAGGGGTGCTGGAGGGTCTATTGATGTTGGTTGCTGGGGGATCTATTGTCGTGGAGGGGTCTATGGTTGTTGGAGGGGGTTCTGTTGTTGCTGGGGGGTGTCAGTTGTTGTAGGGAAGGATCTACTGTTGAGGGAGGCAGGGCTTGACAAATTTGTTTTGAATCTAGGAGCCAGCTTTTTGTAGTGAAGCATAGATCGACAGCACCCGGGACTTCATGTGATGCGATTTGCCACGCGTCAATCACATCAAAACCGCACCACGTTTTAGGTGCCATTGAAAATAATGGTGCCTGAACCTACATTTTGTGGTCAAAGCAATTCTGCCGTGATCCCAAAGAATTGTTGCTGGTAGGGGGAGTGAACTGTCTCTTATGTTGGAAGGGCTGTCTCTTTGCTGGATTGGGCTGTCTCTTTGCTGGATTGGGCTGTCTCTTAGCTGGATTGGGCTGTCTTTTTGCTGGACTGGGCTGTCTCTTTGCTGGATTGGGATGTTTCTTTGCCGGATTGGGATACCTCTTTGCTGAATGGGGATATCTCTTTGCTGGATTGGGCTGTCTGTTTGTTATATGGGGATGTCTCTTTGCTGGACTGGACTGTCTCCTTGCTGGATTGGAATGTCTCTTTGCTGGACTGCGCTGTCTCTTTGCTGGATTGGGATGTCTCTTTGCTGGATAGGGATGTCTCTTTACTGGATTGGGCTGTCTCTTAGCTGGATTGGGCTGCCTCTTTGCCGGACTGGGCTGTCTCTTTGCTGGATTGGGATGTTTCTTTGCCGAATTGGGATGCCTCTTTGCTGAATGGGGATATCTCTTTGCTGGATTGGGCTGTCTCTTTGTTATATGGGGATGTCTCTTTGCTGGACTGGACTGTCTCCTTGCTGGAGTGGGTGTCTTTTTGCTGGACTGGGTTGTCTCTTTGCTGGATAGGGATGTCTCTTTGCAGAATATATATGTGATCGCTAGGAGCACTTTAATGTAAAGGGCACTGTGATATAAAGGGGACTCCCCTTTACAGTGCAGTCCCCTTTATATCGCAGTGCCCTTTTACATTACAGTGAGGAGGACCGCCTCTGTGAAAATTCTGTCACCAACCACCACCCCTGCGAATGCCCGACCCCATTCCCCCCTCCCGCCCGGGTGGAGAAATTGGCTGATTAGTCTAAATTGGCTGATCTTATTTTGTGCCCCAATCCGGGCCTGTCTGCTGTATTTTCTTTCCATGAAAGTGGAGATTTTCTTTTAGTGGGTTGCACTTGTTTATCAATTTATCAGTGTATCTCGGGGTAAAGTTTCAGCACCACAAGCGGTGACCCCCCCCGAGCTACACTCGGGAATACACTGCAGCATTGCTCCAGGATCTGTTCTGCACTTACCTTGTCCTGCGCTCCCGCGATGTCCCTCCTGCAGTGTCCCCGGCAATGTCCTCCGGCCGATGCCGGCATCTGTCTTCCGGGTTCCGTTCCCTGCGATGTCGGGATGTACGGGGGACGGAACTGGCGGGAAATTTAAAAATGTGAAAAAGTGACATTCACTAAATACACTAAAATCACATAGTATAACATTCCTGTATCAAACCATTTCACATACATTTTGTCCCGAGTGCTTTGTCCGGCGCCCTGCCTGCACAGTGCTGGAAACTGAGAAATGTCCATGGCGTCCAAAAAGCGTCCCTTTAGACTAGAGCGGTTTTAACCGGCTAGCAGATAGTAAATCAGAACCACTTGCAGAATTGAGTGTGATAATGATTCGGTGGGGGAAATTCCTCATCAGACACTGAAAACGATTCTGCGACTTTGCTCAGCGATGTGCGAACTTGGCGCTCTATTTCACATTTCAGTGTTTTTGGTTTGATTATATTATTGAATTACATTTATTATTATTATATTATTATTATTTTTTTATGATTATTTATTAAATTATAATTTATGATTTCCTGTTTCAAAGTTTATCATCCCCGGGATGTTTACTAGACTCTTGTCCGGACAGATTTCAGTGAGTTATTCCTAAAAATTACAGGCCTACAATAAAAAAAATACATATTTCCATGCAAAAAAATGTACCGCTTTGAGCACAGAAATACTGACATAATCAGACCGCTGGGGAGGTTACAGATAGGTAGATAACGCAAAAAAAGAGCTTCACTTTGTTGTATTTTTCAGAGTCCATAGAAGGAAAACAATCGAATCTTCCAGAAAGTTTAATATCTTCAAGAATCATTTTGTAATTTGGATTTTGGGCTCAGTGCTGCCTATTGACTTTGACATGTTTTTTCTCTATTATTAGTCCTGCAGTTGCCCAGATAATAGCAGAAGGTAGATGAGTTCGGAATAATAAATCCGGGGAAATAATGGCAGCGATCACCTTGGCACGGCTTTAGAGATTCCCTTCCATTGGAGAGCTGCGCCAAACTAATGAGAACCACAAAAAAAACCTTAATGACCCGAACAACGCCGAACCAATCAGAAGGGCGAATGTAATGAAAGTAGCAAAATGCAGCACCATGTGTGTTCAGTGGGATAACAATGTCTAATAGGGGCTTATAGAAAACCCCATGCCAAGCTGTCCGGCCTCCCGCTTGAAGTCAGCCTGTGTCAGATGTGTCACTGCAATAGCACTGAGATCCTAATAGAGAAGAAAGACGGCTGTGTTAAAGTGCAACTCCAGCCAAATAGCTACTGAGAGAGATACCAAGTAACATTGTTTGTAAAAAATGATCAGGTGGGAGATAGAGAGATACAAAGTAACATTGTTTATAAACATTGTTCAGATGGGAGATAGAGGCAAAGCAGCCATAACTGAGGTCACAGAGACAAATAACAGTGAGATCCTAATAAAGGAATCTAAGAAGAAAGATGGCTGATGTTCAGCCAAAAAGCTACTGAGAGAAATACAAGGTAGCATTGTTTATAAACATAGTTCAGATTTGAGATAAAGACATACAAAGTAGCATTGTTTATAAACATTGTTCAGATAAGAGGTAGATACAAA